GATTTCCATAGCCGCAAGCTCCTCCTAATGCATAGAGAAACAATTTGGATTTTAAGGATGAAACAAGAAATAAAATGGTGGAAACTTTCACTGTTGATTTTTAGCACTTACAATTAACCATCATTTCCTCCTGGAGCATTAGTCCGTCTATACCATTACCTGCTCAAATTGTTATTGATATGGTACCAGAAGATCCAAAAAAAACTCCTAAAAGACTCACATTTTCTGCAAAAAGTGTGAATTAAAAAGTACATAATGTAACCATGAAAATTTGACTTGGATAAGGTAAGACACAGCTGTGGCATTTATGATATGTAGGAAAGAAAGCAGATTGATGGTGCAGGTATAACCATACTAACTGGTCTCCAATGCCAAAAAATGTCAAAGGAAAATTTTCCCTTTTCCCACAGAGAAAAGAATAATTTGCACTCGTCTTTCATTTTTTAGAATGCTATGTTTTTCACCTTCACATTAAAGATCTAAGGAACAAGATCAATTTATATTTTTCCAGAAATTATGATGCAAGCTGTCATACCTTGTCAAAAAGTTCAGATGTAAATATCACCTCTTCTTTTGTACTTGAGTCTTGAATAGTTGAACTGCTTTTAGCTTGAATCAGATAAACAAAGAAACAAAAAGAATAAAACAAAGAATTCAGTCAGATGCAGTGAGATACAAAACAGCAGACGCCAAATTTAAACAAGCTCTCCAAATTTAAATTTAACAATAAATAGAGAAGTAGTGCAAGCAGTTATAATTTATACCATTAAAAAGGAAAGAATATACCTCTATAAATTTGTAGCTTCATTCCAGATTTCACTCAAGTAAGCATGGTCTTTGGTGCTTAATCACAGCCAAATGCGAGTAGAGAGGTGCTTTATTTCGAGCAAGAATCACAATTTTTCTGTTCTTCTGAGGGGATTAGGGGAAGTAGGAGATTTTAGCAGGGCAAACTAATCTGAAGTTAAAGAGAGTGTTTTACGATGGGAAGATAGAGTTCGGAACGGAGAAAAAGCGAGAAAGCAACGATTTTTTTTTTTTTTAGCCGAACAAGGAAGCAAAGAATTTATTTATTTATTTTTATGTTAAGTAAAAGCAAAGAATTTGAATAAAAGGGTTTTTAAATTATTCTTTTAAGTTGCTAGAGAAACAAAGTGTTTAAAGAAGTGATAAAAGAAAAAACTAATTCCAAAATTAATTGTTGTGGCATAACGTAACAGGGACGAAATAAAAATGAAACTGTTTTCTATTTAATTATTCAAGTGCTATTAAAAAAATAAAATTATGTTGTATAATTTAAATTATTAAATGAGAAGAGTTAGCCTTCTAATGCTCGGAACTATTTCATATTTATTAATTTTAATTTTATTGTATAGTGCAATGTGAAATGTCAAAATTAAAAGCTATTCAACTATAAATTTACAATAGAGTAACTGAAAGGACCTCACAAATCATGAGCCTAAAGCTAAACTGTTACTGGTAGCATAGTTGTTGAGTAAGAAACTTTCACATCAAATATAAAATAAAAAAAATATGTTATTTAAATTAAAAAAATTAGTTATTATTAATTTGTTCATACGTTTAATTTTCACAATACTTACACTAAACTTGTGGATAAGAGCCCTTTTTTTAATCTTTATGTTTAATGATAAGTTAAATAATAAAAAATAATTATTTTCTTCCCAAACTTCTGACCACTAATCTGAAAATTTAAACTTCAAATTTTCAATGTGGAAGTTAATACTGCTGTTAAGTGTTAACACTAAAATCGCCCCCAGAAATATTGCCACTTGAGTTTTGGGCCGAAGCCAGTCGTCACAGAACCATAGGGCC